CTCAGAAGTGGTTTCAGATTTGGGCTTAAACCAAATTTGGTGTGGGTTTTGTTGTTCTGGACCAAAGCAAGTGAGAGGAAGAGAGCAGCAGACAAATGATGGACTTGGAACAACATCTAAAAGACTTTGATTCACCTTAAAGACAAAAAACAGTGAGGGGGAAGATGAGTTCTTGTCTTGGGCCATTGAGCATCAGCAGGAAATGAACAGTTAAGTCTTCCTAGATCCTCTTTGGAGTTTTTGGATGTTGAAGATGATTTGTTTGGTTTGCTTGTGGGGTTTTGTTGTTGTTGTTTTCTGGGTTTATGTGTTTTGTTTGTTTGTTTGTTTTTTCAGGCAGCAGAATTACATTGCACTTGGATCTTAGTTTTCTTCCAGGCTGATTTAATGCCAAAGATAGCAGAGAAGGATAGAGAGACCAAATGTTCCCGTGCAGCAGCATGGTGCTTGTCTTCTTGGCCATTCTCCATGCATTTCTTTGAAACATCTTCTCTTGGGATTCCAGTATGCTGGAAAATAAAATGCTACTTAATAGATAGTACAGAAGTACAATCATTGGCCTCACCAGCAATGGCTAAAAAGCCAAAAAGATGTTCCTGGCTCTTGTAGACCAGAAAAGTGAGATTTAAACTGAGCTCATCCCTCCCCACAGACATGTTCAGGAGGAAGCCTCACCAGCTGACTGCAGGGGTTGGATTAGCAACCCTTCAGAATGAGTTGCAGAAGTGCAACTTTTTATAGCAGTCTCACTTAGACACCTGCAGGTTACACTGAATATCAGAAAAGGCTGGTTTTCAGCCAAGAGTCATCACCCAGTTTTGTAGCTCAGCACTAACCCACCAAAACCCCCAGGTATATTGCAGATGTGAAAGAGGAGGGCGGACCTGGGCTCTCTGCAGGCCACTGTTTATCTCCAAAATGGCTAAGGTGGTACTTTGAGCCAGCCAAAAAATGCAAGGTATTTAAATGGGACATTTGGACAAAAAAAACCTTCACAAGGCACAGGGTGGTTTTTATCTAATTCAAATATTAGATTTCCCCCCATTTCAATTGAAAGTCAGAGATTTTGTCATCAACAGCTTTCATTACCCTGTGTGGCGTTTTTCACTTCATCAGTGGTATATGTGATCAGTATGGAATTTTACTAATAGGATTATTTTTCCTAGGCATGTGCTCAGATCTTTTTCTAAACCTTACCAGGGTATCTGTTGGGGAACAGATTTGGCCATAGGCTTTGAATGGTGATGGAGTATTCTGGGCAGGTGTAACTATTTTGATATGTTGTCAGTGCTGGGTGCTCTAAGAAATTAGTATTTCAATACATAAGCTATGAAGTAAAGGGGGAAATGAATCATTAGAATTTAGATTAAACACTATTTATCTTTATTTATCTTATGGATGTTTATGACGGCGTTTTCTGTAATACTTTTTCTATAATTATCTGTGTTGTTACTGTGTTAGAACGATGAAGAATTCACTTGCATGTGCATGTTGTTTGCCAGCGATGTTTTCTAAATGAAGAGCTTGGCGTCAGTGAGAAGTGTCTGCTTTCCCAGGGCTTTGACCCACCCAGCTTTTCACCCCCGTTTTGGGTGACTTTGCAGGTGTTAAACAGGATTTCACTGAAGCAGTAGGGTCTGGCTACCAAAGATATCGCTCTCGGAGCTGTTTTAGTTACACTTCATCATCATAAGCATATGGTTTCACTTCCAAGTGTTTAACATTTCCATTTCCTCAGGAAATCATTCCCTCTATTTTTTAAACTTTTGAAGCTGGGTGGATATTTTTGCTGGCAGGCAGAGCGAGAGCGACACAGCCCCAGCCCCAGCGAGCCCCCTGGCCCTCCTGCTCTCCCTCCTTGCCCTCCTGCAGCAGCTCCTGAGCACGGCTCGGGGGGCTTCGGCCACGTCCCTGGGGTGCAGCACGCTGTTCAAACACTCCTGCTTTCCTTACTCTAGCAAAACTATCCACTCCTTTTCTCAGCTTCAGCTGGGAGAGATGTTTTTCTTTCTCAGTCTTTGCATCCCGAGAATTAGTTGAGCACAGACTCCTTTAGCTGACTTTAGCGAGGCCAACGGCAAGATCGGGGCCTAAGAAAATAGTTTGTGTCACCTACAAGGAATGAAAGCGTTTTCCTGCTCTATTTATTGTCTGTGGTGGTATATCCAGCAGTTCCATGCACATGACAGAGTGATGGCTCCAGGGAGCTGCTCTGGCTGTTGTGTTTTCAGAGATTATTTCTGGTATTTCCTTTTTTTTCCTCATTACAAGTGGGTCACCCTTCTCATGTGTTGGCCAAGTTCTGTACCGTAGGAGGAGGTCTGTGCTCACGTCTTCTTTATGGTGCATTTATCCACACATGGCATATTGTGTAGCTGCTGGTTTTCTTTTCCTGCTGTGCTATGAAGTGCAGCTATGGGTGTGCAATCTGCACGCTGGTTTAGCTGGCATCACTGGCCCTTTTTGTGACAGGATCATCCTCTGCTGCACTGAGTGTCACCCTGTCATGGCAGCTTTGATAAACTAACCGCGTTTTGTACAACAAGCGCTGTCGCTGTGTATCAAATAGTGCTGTGCAAGAGAAAATATAGAGCAAGGCAGCTGATTAAAGTGTTTGTTCCTTTCTGTTTTACTCCTGTTACAAGTACAGACACAGTCTTTGCCCTGCTTGTTTAGTGTGAGGAACCTTGCTGTGGGCTGGGGCTGCTGGAGGGATTGGGTGCTCCCATGAGCAGGCAGGGCGAATGTTTAATTCTTCCCCTCTCAAGAGTTAGTCAAGGTAGCAGAAAGCATCATCAGACAGACATAATTAAACCTCCAGACCTCCCAGGAGACCTCACCTGAGCTGCTCAGCTTCGTGCTGGCCTCTGGGGCATCGTGAGCTGCCGTTTGGATCTGCTGACTCTTCCCTGGCTGCTCCGCTCCCCTTGGCACTGCCTGTCTTTGCACACCCCTTCAGCACTTACCTTCTCACCAGGAGCGCTACTCAGTCAAGCAGCACGAGCTTGTACCGCTCCCAAGGACACCCCCAAGGCTCCTCCATGTCCCAGCCAGCCCAGTGGCTTTCTTACCACGTGGATCTGTGTCACGATGTTCCGAGCTGAAGGCTCCGGCTCATGCAAACAAACCAGTGCCACGGGGTTGGTGCTGATAGTTAGACAGACCGGAGGTCAAGGTAGGGCCTACACTGATTTCAATCCAGTTTTACTTGCGAGAGAATATCAAAGCATTGCAGTCTTCTGGAGAGATTGAGTGATATCCTGATCCAAAACGGACTGGCAATGCCAGCGAAAAAAAATGATGTTGTCCCAGATTGCTTCAGAAGACCAGACAAGAGCAGGACCACCCTGAATTAAAAGCACAGCTCAGCTGGTCCCAACCCACGCCTCCAGTGACCACCCTGTAAGTGGTTCAGGGGCCAGCTCCTGAGGAACAGCCCCACTTGCACACGGGTGCAGCACTGGGCAGGCTCCCTCCTTCCTCCCACGAGAGGAGGCCTTGGGTGCTCCTGCCCTCCTGACCCTCAGCTGCGCTGCAGCAAGTCCAGCACCTCACACAGCATTCTGTGATCAGGACAGATGTACTCACAGGGTGCTGAGGCACTGCACCAGTTGCCCAGGGAAGCTGTTGGTTGCCCATCCCTGGAAGTGTTCCAGGCCAGGTTAGATGGGGCTCCAGGCAACCTGGTCCAGTGGAAGATGTTGCTGCCCGTGGCAAGGGTACGGAATGAGGTGATCTTTAGGATCCCTTCCAACCCAAACCATTCCATGATTCTGTGATGGCCTGGTTTTGCAGAACGTGGTCCCCAGGGACCAGTGAAAAGCGAGCCCTTTGGCTGGGTGCCCCCATGGCAAAGGTGAGCTCCATCACAGACACGTGGCTGCATCCCTGCAGTGCCCAGAGCTGAAGGGCACGGGGGAGCAAAGCAAAGGGGGAAGAAAAGACATTGCAGGAGCCACTCCAGGCCCAAAAGAGAAGTAACCACGGCACTGACAACTTGTGTGGGTTTCCTATGTCTGTTTGCAGGGCTGTGTTATGTGTTTAGAAGCTGGTTGTTTCCATAATAACAGCAAGTGCCATATGGCAGCGAGGAGGGTGGTGAGAAGAACGTCTAAGGAAACACAGTATGTTGTTTGACATGTGTGTGCTTCTAGAGGAATAACGTGTCTCAAGCAAGCATTGCTGTTCCAAGCAGGCTGGGGGATTTTCTGCTCTCACCAGAAAAAATATCCCAAGCCCTTGGCATTTGTGCTGGTGCAGTGCCAGTTGATGACGCCTGCCCTTCGCCCTTGTTTTCCCGCAGTTAGTCCTTGCGATGGCTAAAGGACCTTTTGCTTTACTGCAAGTGGTGGTGCTGGATGCACCAGAGTGGCATTTAAACATGGAGTTTAAGGGGAAATACAGTTCTGTAAGGAGTGCTGTGTGAAACTGAAACCAGCCAGATGCCATATGCTCCATCCATTCCTTAATGCTCAGCAAGTAAACAGCAGAAATTCTGAAACCTTCGAAAATGCATAATTTGTACTATAATTGCTTAGCAGAGAGTGAGCTGAGCATTTCCAGAGATTAGAGGCACTTTAGTGCGTATCTAGAAAGCATCCAGGAAGGTCTCCACGAATTACAAATTTTTCTGCCCTTTAATGTATGACTCACTTTTCAAGGTCTTGTAATTTGCTCCCCACATTCTCACAAACATCACCAGTGCCTTTGAACACATTTCCACCGCAGAAAAATATGGAATTATTTTTTCATAAAAGTTGCATGGCTTTTGGATTTTGCCAAAATGAGTTCTACAAAATTCAGCCCCTCTTATTTGAGCCTTAAAGCCTTTAATTATGTTTGTGTGTGGGTACCTGAAATGTGGTGGCGGGGAGAAGGATGTTGTTGCGATTTGAGGTCACAGTTCTGCGCTCATTTGCAATTCTCTAAACTCCTGAACAATCCAGAAGACAAAGCTCTTCTCATTTTCATGCTTCTCTTCTTCTCCTCCTTGCCTCTAGAGAGAGATTACTGCAGCATTTGTGAAAAGCAGCCGATCGGGAGGCTTCTCTTTCGGCAGTTCTGTGAAACTCGACCCGAGCTCGAGTGCTGCATTCGGTTCCTTGACTCGGTGGTAAGTCAGTTCTTGTGATATTTTGGGGTGCTTCCCAATGCTCTCCTGACAGGGGAGACTCCTCTGGCCCCTGGGAATCACTGTTTCATGGGGTGGGAGGGCTGGCCCCATCAGCAGCCCAGCATCGCTGGTGATAGAGGGACAGTGCTGCACGCGGGGTTGGTGCCAGCCTTGAGGGACACCAGAGGGGGGTAAGGACAGCCACCCACCCAGTGCTGGTGTGGGTGAAGCCTGAAGTGCTGGGAAGCACTGGGAGGAAAGGGAAGGTGATGAATGGGCTGACAGGAGAGGATGAGGAATGTGATAATGCCAATATCTCCTACCAAGACTTTTCATTTTTAGACTTCAGGGTGATTTACAAAGGATATCCTGAAAATTACTCTGTTTTTTCAAATAGAAGAGCAGAGGCACAAGGTATAGAAGTGACTTGTTTGAGGTCACTAGGAAACAAATCTCTACTTTCCATCTCAGTGAGCCACAGAGCAGCACCCCCCCAGCCCCGGGGAGACCTGACGCTCTTTCCCAGTCTGGCAGCACTTGGCCATGTGCACTGCCAGCTGTTCACGGTGGAAAAGTCTCTCAGTGACTTTCTTGCTGGGAACCTGTGAAAGGGGAGGGTGTTGATCAGCCAGAAGGCTAAATCAGAGCAGAGAGGAAGATGAACTTGTCACTGCTGAGTGTGAGTGTTCATGGGGCTTCACTCCCTGGCTAACACTGACAGGTGACAGCAAAACAACGTACACCAAGAGGAATAAAATTGGTTTTGTACTGTGGTGAAGGTATTCTGAAGTATAGGGAGATGTGGGGATTGCACTCGAGTTATAAAAGTAACAGTCTGTAAGGGGACATGTAGTGTCTTAAGGTTTATATTAGTACTGCAGTAACTACAGCAAATCCACAGCATCACAGAAAGTGTTGGATAAAGCCCTGTTCAGATTAGTTTTTTAGCCAGTCATGGCTTCCACCTGTTATTTGTAGCGCTGACTGTGATTTTCTCCAGTGAAAGGTATAGCCATCAAGGTACACAAAACAACTGACAGAATGCTCTGTGCAGCTGATCTCAAGGCCAGCAGGATGCTTCAGGCACCCTGGATGTGTTTGTCTTGCACCCAACCAGCACGAAGCACCACACACCCCCATCTCGGGGAAGGCACCCCACAGAAATGCCACGTTAGGTGTAACACCTGCAGCCCCCAGGAGATGGGTGATGGCCATCCCTCTAGGAAGCTGCAGAAATCCTTCTGGGGGCAGCCACAAAAGGCTGCTTGTGAGTGGTTCTAATCTCAGACAGAAGTGACGGCGTTGCCCTCAGTGTGGGCAGGGTTGGCAGGGCCCCACTCTTTTCTCACGCCTCCTCACAGCAGCACGCCTCACATTTTGGTCCCAGCAGCTCCCAGGGGCTGCAGAGAACAAGCCCCTGTTGTGTGAGCCCTGAGTACACACTCAGGGCATCCCACTGACAGCAGCAATAACATCTGGGCATGAGGAAACGTCTCTGTCCCCCACGGTGCCACCAGAGCTCCGCGTGACACCCTCGGCCACTGCGCTGCCTGGAGCATCTCCCGCCTGTCCCCGGCGCGCCAGCCGGCTGCCCAGCCACCCTCCAGCTCTGGGAATTGAGGGCACTGGGTCATTCCAGCCTCCCAAAGCCCTGTGGAGCACTGATAAGCACTGAAACGCCCCATCCTCTCCTCGTCCGTGCAGCACAGGCAGCGCTGGTCCTGCAAAGGCTTGTGGTGGGACTGGATTTGTTTTAAGGGTTCGTCTCCGAGCAAGCCCAGACTGATATTCCCAAATCCTTTTGAAAGGGGATGCTTTGCATGTTCCTTTTTCCTGCTGGAGCTGCCCTGTATACCTTTACTGGGCTGGTGGTCTGTTCCCAGTTAGGCTCGGACTGGCAGGAGGATTTGGGGGATTTGATGAACGAAATGCCTGGCTGTGTGGAGGTCTGAATATTTATCTTTCTCTCTTCTTTTTAACACTAATTAAGAGCAGTCTCCTTTGTTTATTGATTTCAGATTCTGTACAGGCTTGCTCCCAGCCCAGGAAAATCCCTGCATTAGGCAATATTAAGGTCAAACAACACAGCCCATGGCCATTAAATCAGATGAGTGCTGCTGAAATTTGCCCAGCAGGGTCACACTGTGTTGAGTGAGGAGTGGGATTCAGGCCAAGCCCTACATTAGCCAAAAAAGTCCTGTAATGAGACCAGAAGTCTGACTTTACAGCCCTATTCTGGGACCACCAGGAACGCAAAACCTTTTGGAGACCACCTGCTGTAACAAGCCCCGAGCAGGAAAATCCAAGAGCCTTAATTTTCTTTGGTCTTAGTTATTTTTCTAACATGAGATGCAAAACTTGGCTTTTGTGTAATGTCAACTAAAAATAAAAAATAAGAGAGGATAATATTTAGATGCTCGTGAGAGACTCACAGGGCTTTTTGCACATGGAGAGGCAGGGCCACCTCTCTTTTTCAGAGCCCATCTAAGTGACTTTACCAGGTCACACAGTAAGTCATTGGCAAAAGCCAGGAATTGTTGCCTCCCAGTCTTTAGTACATTTATTTTTTTTAACCCATGCACTCAACTACCTGCAAAGAAAGCAACGATCAGGACTTATGGGAGGAAACCAGAAGGTGAGTCAGACACTCAACAACCCACCAACGTCCTTATGCAAGACTAAGTTTTGCAAGCTCTCCTACACCTGTGCTTCCAAAGGCTGGTAAAATCAACCAGACCTTGCAGACCAGAATCTGTAAAGAGACAAAAAAAAAAAAAAAAAAAAAAAAAAAAAAAAAAAAAAAAAAAAAAAAAAAAAAAAAAGTCCCTCTTGGCTGGACATTTCTGTCAGCTGTTGTGTGAAATAACCAACCTGGTCTGATGTAGTCTCCTGAAAATCTAATTAAGGCCGCATCTGGGGTTTTTTGTCTGTGCTGTACAGCAGTTGTTAGGCTGCTTTCTGAAGAAAAAGAATTTGTGTCATTCAGTTCTGTGTGCATGTGGGTGTGTGGCTGTCAGTTCCCCCTGAAACCTGTGAATACCTGGGCCGACTTCAACCGGTAATTGAGATTAAAGTGCTCAGATGCACAAAGTTTCTACCTGCTTTCTGAGAAGAGTGAGTAATAAGTCACAAGCAGTTGTGGCACAGACTGCAACAGCATGTGGTCTGTAAGCAGCAGGCCCCAACATTAGATGATAAGAGATCAGAACTAAGAGATGCAGAGCTTTGCAGCGCTGCTCTGCTGGGGCTGTGGGTGTCTGGCTCCCCTCACTGCTGTGGCACCAGTTAGTGGCCCTCAGTTTGTCTGTCTGGGAAATGGGGCAACAGCAGCCCCTTGTAGCTGGCACAGCGAGGCTGTGAGGACAGAGAGCCACCTACCTCACGACAGAGGTCCTGATTGACGAGGTGTTGAGTAAGAAGTGTCTGCAGCTCCTGCCTCTAAACTCATCTGCGTGCCTGTAACCACAAAGGTCCCACGGATGGCTCACCAAACCCTCGTGTAGCCATCCAGATGAAGGGACTACGTGAACATGAACTACTAGCATTAAGCAGAGATGGTTTATGATTAATTTAGCTCCTCTGTAAGCCCTTCACAAAGAATTCACGCACAGCCCCAAAGCACACTTTGCTCTGCTTACAAATATTTTAGCGACGTCGAACAACTTTGGAGCTGTTGAAAGACAGCCATTAAAAGAAAGTGTGAGTGGATATGTTTCCTGTGCTGAAAGGCAGATCGGTGAGCAGGCAATGTGCTAGCAAGACATGTTTCCTTCTCTGCAGCCAGTGCTTCCAGGACAAGAAAGCAGCAGTTCAGTTCAGCAAGGACTTCTTGCTCCTGTCCCCTCCTCAACAGCACATTCCCAGAGTGCCAGCTCCTGACGTTTCCCTCTCCTCTCCTGTGATTTTTATGTGCCATTGTAATGAAGACTTTAGCTTCTGGACTCCCTTTCCTGCTTCATCTACTCACATGCATAATTGATTTATTTTTTTTTCCAGGGGAGGGCTTTTAACATTTTAATGCAGACCAGATTTAGATTGACCGGAGGAGAACGGGGCCAATTTTGGTCAAGGAGAAAATAACCTGGCATTGTTTTCTGTCTGACCTGACCAATGTTAATTCTTTGCACTGAAGTCACACAGAAGCACATCCTCTGGAGGAAAATGGCCCCTGCTCCTGCTGTCTGGGCTCAGGGGCTGGGGGCAGAGGCACATCTCCTCGGGTGGACTTTGCAGCTGAACGCTCCACTAGACATTGCACTTATCTGGGGTGAAAGGATGAGTGAGCATCCATTTAATGCCATTTATAAAAACCCTGTCTTGCTGTTAGGGAGATTTCGTTTGGTTTAGTCCCTTGCATGGTGTATAAACCATCTGTGTATGTGTGTCTTAAAGCTGTTCAAGGCTTTTTCCATCAGAAATGCCAGTTTGTTGATATCAACAAACTCATTAACCCAAAACGTGTTTTTAAACAGTCAAAAGGGCTCTTTTTGCCCAGCCTTTATATATGAAAAATGTGGTTTCGAGTTCACTTTTCATTTAGAAATGCGAGTTATTATGAATCCCAGCTGTCTGGGGTTTGCCTTCCAATTTTTAGTCACAGATTTTAAATCTCCAGTGGAGGCAAGTGCAGGGATGGCCACTGAGGACAGAGCAATAACAGGGAGAGAGCAGGAGCAGAGAGAGATTCTGGGGATGACAGAGGAGGGAACTGAGAAAGTGGAGGTGTAAAACTGGGACTGAAATGCCAGTAGCCTCCTGTAGGTGCTCAGAAGGTGATTCCACTGCTCCTGACTTGACCAAGAAGCCAAAACTGCTCTGGTGGGAATATCTATTCCCATTTCCATCTCCTGGTGGGTTCAAGGGACAACTCCTGTGGCTACACTACCCTTCTGCAGGCAACCTGCTGTGGGAGAGCATCCTCCCAGATCTGCAGAGACATCTCTTTGGCTCTGCTTGCCAATTTTCACCTATTTTTAAGCCACACAGTTTCCAGATCTCAAGTTATATCAGGATGAAAATAAAATATGAGACAGATCGATGTGTCAGCATTGAAGCTGCTGATGTGAGCGCCTGTGGGGTCCCTGTGCTGTTGCCCTGGAAGTTCTCCAGCCATCACAGGCAGCCTCCAAACCACCTGCTCAGCTGTCCCTGAGCCCATGGCCCCACCCCACAGCCAGTCACAGGCTGGGTGTTTCTCCCTTCCCCAGCTGAACTGCGTTTTCCCATCCAATCCCACTGAGCCCATCCCAAGAGCAGCTGCTCCAAAGGGAAGGAAACCTCACACCCTGCTGCCCCCATTCAGCTTCTAGGGAGGAAGGAGCCACCAAAGTAAGTACTGCCTCAAAAAAAAAAAAAAAAAAACAGCAGCCAAAAGAAAAGTTAGCAGCAAAGAGCAGCCAGCCCACATCCTCTGGCCATTTGGGCTGAAGGATCTGCTTCTGCCCACAGAAAGAGCCTTCCCTGCAGCTCGTCCCGTGGAGTCAGGGGGATCGTAAATCCTCCTCTCGTTTATGAGCTATGAATGGGGCCCTGTCTGACCTAACTAGGGCATGGAGAAGCTGTTAGACTTCAGAGCAGGAGCCTTGAAACACATGCCTGGCTTCATCAAAGGAATAATGGAAAATATTTTGTTCCACGTGGATTTGGAGGAACGATGTTATTTCTAGCAATTAGGGATTTGCAAACTGTAGCTGTGCTTTTGGGTATTGGGGAAGAAAGGGATGCATCTTGTGATTTAAGCACAAGACTCCAAGTTGAGGACCTTGATGGCTTCCCAGGGAGGTGGCAGAGGGAGCATGGGGACGTCCCTGTCTCCTGCAATAAGAGTTGATGGCTGAAAATGCACCAGTATCTGTTGCTGTGTAGCTTGAAAGTGGCCTTGAAGGGAGAAATAATAATGAAGTTAGAAACAAAATGAAACAGGCTTCTAGTACAGACCTGCAGTGAAATCAGCGCTGCTCACAGTTGGAGCTTGTGGTTCCTTCTCACATCCTCACTTGTCTGTCACGTCCCACCTTCACCACCACTGTGTCACATTTTCTGGGAATGTCAAATGCAAGTATAATTAAACTTTCCTTTTCTTCCTCCCTAGCTATCTTGAGACAGAATGACATACTCTCTGTGTGTGTGTGTGCATTTAGCTCTGCGTATGTTGTATCCCATCAGGAATTGTATTTCAAAACACTGATCCAATCCCTGCAGAACTTCTGTCTTCTGAACTGTCCTGATTTGATTCCTGTTATACAATTTGGGTGGGGTGCAACTGTTACAGGTTAACTGTGGCAAAAAAAGATATCAGATTTTTTGACATCTCCCTGGTGCACTTCAAATAGCAGATGATGACTTATAATCAGGTTTTACTTGTGGGGAAGCCAATGTGTTACCAGGATCCAGAGTTTAAAACCAAATGAATGAGAGATTGTCATTCTTGGACAAATTGTAAATAGCATTGAGTGGAGGACTCAGAAGATCTCCTAGATGCTTCCATGCTGAGGCAACACCAAGTAGTTTTTCTTTCTTTGCAATCTTCTGCACAGACAGATGTGTTTAAGCACAAATGTTTTCTTCCATTAAAATGCATTATTTCTGTTTTCTTTTATATGAAAAACACCTGGTTTGTCTGTGAACCTAACCATAAACTGTAAGGTCCAAATAAGAGGCAACTTTCAGCTTTAAAAAATCTGTTCTTTTGTTTCACTTTCTATTCCTGTATCCCCTAGCAAGGAGTCACAGAAGAAAATACTGTTAAGATGCTGTAAACATTTGAGAGTGTCTGTGCTTGAAGAGCTGAAATGACCCATACTCAGATACCATCTAAAAGGACAGGAAATAGGATGAAAGATCTTTTAAACCCTTGCATTAGGTTTTATGAGTACATAAACAGCTTCATCCCCAAAATGGTCACTAAAAGAGAAGTACTGTTCTTGTGGGTTTTAGGTCTTGGTGTATTTTTGTCCTTTATTTGTGGTCATTGTCGTTTCCCAGACAAAATCAGATCATAATTCCAGACTGTTCAAGCAACCTGCTCTGTGTGTGTGTGTAAATGTGCAGCTTCAGACTTGCAATGGCTAACTGAGCACTGGCTAGATAGATGGGGAACAGCATTATTACTACATTGTGGTTTCCATGTCATTCCTAGGTTTGCTTAGCTGGGGTATCCATTACAGCCTGCCTTCAGATTTATTGCATCCAGCTCGGAGCAGTACATACATCTTCCAGTGGGCAAGAGTTCTGAAATTTGTTCTTCCAAGTGTTTGCCAGTTCATTCTGATTTACCTTCTTCTTCTTCTTCTTCTT